CCCAACCCCCGCTTTTTTCATTCAGGAAATCTAATTCAAAATCATTTAATAATTGACTGAACTACCAGAGTGTGCTAAGTGATAAGTAAATACTGAATACCATCAAGGCCAATATGTTTCATTCAAATCATTCTCATTATTATGTATTAATGTGGCAACTGACCCCATAACAATAGCAGTGATTTCTTGATGAGGTAGGATGGTTACTGAGGGAGAAGTTTTACGAAGTCAAGGATGTCTGAACTATGAAATGAGCTCATAGTGTTTCTGCAAGTGAAGAAACCAGTTTAAACTCGATGGGAATAACATTGCCTTTATAATAAGCTCCATGGTTCTCCCTTCCCCTCCTCTTCACTTGCTTTTCCCTTCAGTGAACACCCCTCCACCTTGTCACGCAGGCCCGAGGGTGCATGTGGCTTCCCATGTCTGCCTGCATTTTGTGGGAAGCCTTCCTTTTTCCCAGATCAATTATTTTTGTTGATGAAACACCTAGTCAATATTATTTTTGAGGTAACACCTTATAAAAGTGTTCCTGGTAGCACACTTCAAACAACTGGCCCGAACAGAGGTGTCCAACCAGAACTACTCATTGTATTCTCAGTTGCATCTTTTGTTGTTGTATTTAATCCTCACCTGAGGATATTTTTTCTATTGATTCTTACAAAGATGGAAAGGAGAAAGAGAGAGAGAGAGAGAGAGAGAGAGAGAGAGAGAGAGAGAGAGAGAGAGAGAGAATGAATTGGTTTCATCCTGCACACACCCGAGTCAGGCCAAATGAACCCACAAACAAGGTACTTGCCTTGACAGAATTGAACCTAGGACTCTTCCATGAGGCTGGAGTATGGTGTGAGGGGAGGAGGAGCGGATGCAGAGCCAGATGCTCTAACCACTGAGAACAGTGGCCAGGGCCTCACTTGGATCTTTACTGACCAATTAGAGCAGCTCCATAATGAGCCGTCAGAACATGTGATTCCAACCAATCAAGATAGTACTGTAGGGTCCAATCAGTCAGCTCCAGATTGGATGCACCATTTGCTGACAATAGAACTCTCGGGGAGCAGAGTAGGGAATTTATAAAAATCAGCCTCCCCTTCCTCTCAGGGAGACACACGACCCTTCCCGCCAGAGCCTGCCTCTCTGTTGACCTGAATCACGTGTCTCCTTGTATCCCCCCCTTTAATGGAAACTTTTGTTGGCATGAGACTGATTGGTGGCAGGGACCTTGTGTGGATAAAAACAACCCTCCCCATCCCTAAGGGATTTGAGCGCACCCGTGTCTCCGATGATTGGTTGAAGATACAAATTTGCCAGCCAATGGGAGTGAGCCACACCCCACCAGGGCCTCATAAAAAGGCAGGCACCTCAGGCCAACCTGCCCTTCTGATTCCGGACAGATGCCAGGAGGTAGGGTCTCTCCTTTGGGCCGCGAGATGGGTTCAGGATCAGGACACGGCAATCTCCGCCGCCCCTCCGGGCAAAGGCCCACTGACCGGCCTCCCCTCCGAAGGAATTCCTTAGGAGGAAGAGGCTCCGGTGTGGAGGAGAAACCACTGGAAGAAAAAGGGAAGACTTCCTCCCGGTTCACAGAGACCGCCAGCACCCAAAGAGGAGAAGCAGGAAGCTGCTCCAGTCAGGGGAGCTCCGGGAAGAGGAAAAGAGGCTCCAGGGACAGCCCCTGCGCCAGAGCAGAGCCCTCTCCGGGAGAGGAGCGCAGTGCGGTTTGGGGGAAGCGAGCAAAGAGCCCCGATGCTGGCCCCCGCAGCTGCAGCCAAGAGACTGGGCGCCCCTGCCCCAGCAGAACGCAGAGGGAGCGGCCCGGGCACCGGAAACAGCCCAGATCCAGGCCCTCCGGAGGCCAGCCGCCTCTGCTGCGGACAAGCCTGGTGACTTCCCTGCGCACCTTGTCGGAGGCCACTCATGGCAACATCGTCCAGATGCAGCACCAGCAAGCACCTGCCCCGCTGAGCTGGGAGCACTATGCCCTGCTGGCCGAGCTGCGGGGGCATTTGCACGCCCAGATGCAGACCGTCTATGCCATGGCCACCCAGGCCGCCTATGTCTTCCCTGCTGAGGCGTGGCTCAGCCCGGCCCCACCTCCCGGGCCTTCCGGTCCAGAGGGAGATGGAGAGGAGAAGCCCAGAGCCCTTCCAGGGAGGGCGCCCTGGGAGCCGGGGCACAGCCCTGTTGGAGAGATAGACAATGTGTGACTACGTGGTTGTAATTGTCCTCACAAAGACTTTGAAAACCAAGACTCATGTGGTGAACCCTGGGTTTCCTGGAAGACTGTAGTTCCAAAGTATAAATTTCATCTGAGACACTTCATATATGTTGTTGACACTGCTTTGGAGAGCCAAGCATTATTTGAAAATGAGAACCAATCTATGGGTTCAATGCTCATGATTGAATTCTGAAAAGCCTGTAGCTCCTTTCTCTGTCACCTCCATCCCTGGAAGACTGATATCACAAGCCTTGAGGAGCCTTTAATTCTGTTGGAGAAAAGTTTCTACTTCTCCATTTGATGGAATCCTGGTGACATCACCGTGTCCCTTTTGTTTCCCCGTGAGTTACTGCATATTAAATGCTATTGGTCACATGTATTTATCCTTCAGCTGGCTGATATGATAGGTGTAATTGTAAATTTCCTCCTATGTTATAGATTTCAATGTATTCCATTTTATTAGAGGATACTAAATAAATGTTAGATATTATTATTTTCTTAATATATTATATTTTATATGATTTTTATTTGCATTTTATAATGGACTCATGTAATCTTTCATCAAATAAATTCTGATAATTTTTATATTTTTATTGCCTGTATTTACCTATCAAATCCCTTTGAGTGCTGTTTGTTTCAAGTCATTGATGAGTTTTACTTGCTCAGGTCCCCAGAGTCGTGTCTGTTTGGCGGTCAAATCTGTCCATGTGCACATAGGGCCTGGGGCACTGGGAGCCTGCATTGGGCCCTGACCTGACTCAGGATGGCAGGCCCAGCTGATTATGTAATTTTTATATAAGAAAATTAAAGTTTTTTGGGGGAAAGATGAAACCAGTTTAGCCCGACTGGCATCGCTCAATGTTTTAGCAACACCTAGGAACCAGGAGGTGATGATTCAATTCCAGGTCAGGGCACCTGCCCAGGTTTTAGGCTCAGGATGCATCGGATCAGTGATTCTCTCTCATCATTGATGTTTCTCTCTCTCTCTTTCC